TCCAGGGTTAAGAAGATGTCTAGAAAACATGTCTGTTTCTCTCATTAAGAAAACCCAGGGTCTCACAATTCATATGTAGAAGAGGTTGATAGATGATTATCCTCTGAAATCTCCCAAAAGGGCCTGAGAAGCAGCTCCAGATTTTAGGGAACCAAGGGATTGAAGCACAGGAGATATTTTCTGCGCTTGTTTGTTTTAGCTGGAAAGGAAGGCAAACACAAGAAGGCACTGGCTGGCTGTGTAGATGGTGTCACTGGATAAGATCTAGTTTCTGAGTTGCAGCTTGGAACTTCCGGGGGCCAGCTCGCTGACTTGGGTGGAAAGCATGTTCATATCTCAGAAAAATGGGGTCACCTGGTTGTTTGCTAACAGGTCTTTCTTCTGTAAGTGGAGGGGAGAGGAAAAGTGCCGCCATTTGGTCCCTCATTAAACAAGATTGTGCACCAGTCCCTGGGTACACAGAATAGAGGGAAGGCAGCCATGACTTGGACTCTGACCTTTTGCAGTAGTGTGATAATAAATTGATAAATTGAAACTACCTGATGTTTGTTGAATTGGGCTCTTTAGCACTTAGATATATATCACCAGAGGATATGTTTTCCATTGCTTTTCAGAGAGAGTGGAAGGGGGAGAGAGAGAGGGAGAAACAGATGTGAGAGAGACACATCAATTGGTTGCCTCCTGCACAGGCCCTGACCAGGGCTGGGGTTCTAGCTTGCAACTGAGGCACATGCCCTTGGTCAGAGTTGAACCCAGGACTCTTCACTGCATGTCTGACACTCTAACCACTGAGCTAAACCGGCCAGGGCAGCACTTAGATATAATCCATCTAATCCACCTAATCTTTACAACTACCTAATGAAGCGGGCAACAAGGTGATCCTTTTTCACAAATGAGAAAACAGAGGCAGAGAAAAGATCAGCACCTTGCCCAGGATCACAGGTTTGGTAAGAGCAGAGCCAGGTTTGATCCAGGCATCTGGCCCAAGAGCCTGTGCACTTCTATGTGATATAAGGCTCGATGATCACATGGGATCACCTGGGATGGCATGAAAAGGACAGTAATATGGGAAAATGTGGCCAGTGCGTCTCAGATGAAGGGATGATCTAAGTCTGCGTTCAGTGCCTGGGGAATGGGTAATAAACAAAGAAACGTGCTTTTACCACCTAATGTGGGGTGGGTGAGGCTTCATCTTTCAGAATGTAGCACTTCCCTTGTTGGTCAGTAGAATCCTGGCTGGTGGCCCAGGAAGGTTGAGAGCCTGAAGGAGAAGCATCCCCATGGTTGGGACAGCTGGATGTGATCAGACACTCTGTGAACTTGACAAGTCAGTTTTGGATGGTTTCAAAGATCATCACTTAGTAATCCCATGATCTAAGGACTAAAAAACGGTTGGAGAGTCTGGGATTGATCAGATTCTTTTAATAGGAAGGACATGGGTGGTATTGAAAGATGTCTTGGAGACTCAGAGGGTATGTGGCTGACTTCAGACTGAAAGAACCAGGAGGGACAAGAAAACTCCCTTCTCAGGACACACACGATAGAGAATGACGAGGACCAGTAGTAAATAGTGTCAGGGTGTGAGATCCCAAGATAAACTGAGGCTATTGAAGAGAATAAAGGGCAACAAAGTGGTCATTAATATTGGCTGGGAGCACGGGGGGGACAGGGCTGCATAGACCCACTGCTGCCAGGGCGGCTGGTGTCTATGGAAAGAGAAAGAGGAAGGAGGAGCTTCGCTTTGCCCAGACACAAAGAAACATCCCCCAGTTTCAGAGGGCATTGGTAGGTCCAGGTGGGAAAGCAGGAGTGAGACAGTGCATGTGGTCTCCTGTCCCAGAGCTCACTGTCCAGGGCAGGGGGTGACCCCGGAGATGACATTAGATGTCTGCAGAGGGCGTCTGAGAGGTGTTGGGGTCCGAGACAGAGGTGCATGTAACCTGGAGCTGGATGAGACTCAGAGTCTGACGCTGGCTTTGGAAAGGACCCTGGGAGTCTATCAACAAGAAGAGATGAGCGTCAGAGGTAAGCGGGGCTCACGGGGACGAGCCACGTCAGACTAACATCGTGTTCCATTCCGAGAAGCTCAGATCTGGTGACTGTGGCACAGAGTGGACAGAGATTAGATGGGGCTGCAGATAGAGTTGTGTAGGACATTCTTGCACTTCCAGAGTGACCTTACCCAGCTGTGCTGATGCATGGGAGAGTGGTGACCCTCGGGGGGTTGGGAGTCAGCCCAAAAGTCCCGTCAGCACCTCATCTGCTCTTTTGCTTTATTTGCTCCCTTTCCTGCTCCTCGTTATTATCATGATTATTACACTATGTCATCTCCTTCTCTTCTGTCTCCTCCTCATTGCTATTATCAAGGTTTGTCTCATGGCACGTGGAGGTGAAGTTGGGTGAATACCTAGCACAGCAGTTGGCAGAATCCAGATGCACAGTGTCTCAAACAGCTGGGGTGCGCCTCTGAGGTCAGCAGCCTGAGTTTGGAGCTGGGGTGCAGCACTGAGGTCAGCAGCCTGACATTTGGCAGCTGGGGTGTGGCTCTGAGGTCAGCAGCCTGACATTTGGCAGCTGGGGTGTGGTTCTGAGGTCAGCAGCCTGAGTTTGGAGCTGGGGTGCGGCTCTGAGGTCAGCAGCCTGAGTTTGGAGCTGGGGTGCAGCACTGAGGTCAGCAGCCTGGAGTTTGGCAGATTCGACATGAATGCGGTCGGGTTGAGACATGCAGCTTTCCTCATGTGGCTACTGTGAAAACTCCATGAAGTAAGGTGATTAAGCCTCTGGCACATAAACCCTCAGATAGTCAATAAACAGTGACTTCCATTTTTATATCATGAAGGATCCTGGTAGCAAAATATTCCATCCTGCAGTAAAGCCACATGTCCAAAAGTTCAGTGCTGAGAAGAGGGTTGTCACCTCCGTGGCTCAGGGCACTCTGGGCAGTTCAGGCAACAAGGGTCCACGCGCTGTGGTTGGCAAAGGTTGCCTGGGCTGAGAAGGCAGCCCAGTGGGGCTGTCTGCAGAGGGATGTGGGGGTGCAGCAGGCTGGGGAGGACAGCAGGGAGGCTCTGCCCAGGCTTGGGAAAGACATCTAGATGATAGCTCTAAACCAGGGGTGGGGAACGTCTGGCTCGGGCAGTATAAGGCATGCAAAATCATTTGGTGTGGCCCTGCCCAGGCAACCACAGGTGGGACTAGAAATTCAATAAGTCCAGGAGCTTTTTCATAGCAACAATACTTTTGTATGGCCCACGCATGATGTTATAAATATCCAAAAGGCCCTTGGCAGAAAAATATGTTTCCTGCCCCTGCTCTAAATGGTCATAGAGAACTGTCTGAGACAGAGAGAGAGAGAGAGAGTTATATGTATATGAGTATGAGTGTGAGTGTATGTTTATGTATGTGTGTATGTGTATGTGTGAGGATATGATTGTGCCTGGGTGTGTGTTTCTTTGTAGACCGATAGGGCTTTAAGACAACCAGTTACTCTGAGAAAGGAGAGAATTGGCTTCACCCCGATTACAGCCATGCGCTGGCAGATCTGGAAAGGACTGTGGAGATAGTGCAGCCCAACCCTAGTTACAGATGGGGAATGGGGCTGGGAGAGGTGGCATGGTTAGCTCAGGGGCACTCAGTGGACTGATGGGGCTCCTCTGCTTCTTCAAGAAACATTGGCCAGCACTGACCTCTGATGTCAATGTCACCCTTTTTGAGGAATTGGTTTGAGAAGGATGTTAGAAGGGCTCGGTCTGCATTCCCACCAGCAGTGCACCAGGGTTCCCTTTTCTCCACACCCTCACCAGCACTTGCTGTGTGTTGATTTATTGATGGTAGCTATTCTGACAGGCGTGAGGTGATACCTCATTGTGGGGTTTTTTTTGCGTGTCTCTGATGAATAGTGATGTTGAGTATTTTTTCATGTGTCTCTTGGCCATCCGAATGTCCTCTCTGGAGAAGTGTCTATTCAGGTCCTGTGCCCATTTTTTTAATTGGGTTTATTTGTCTTTCTTTTGTTGAGCCTTGTGAGTTCTCTATATATTTTGGAAATTAACCCCTTATCAGATGTGTCATTGGCAAATATGTTCTCCCATACAGTAGGTGCTCTCACCTATAAGTAGAATTTAATGAACACAATAAACTGACAAACGAAATAGGCCCAGAGGCATGGGTGCATGGAACAGACTGACGAATCTCAGAGGGGAGGGAAGGGGAGACAGGAAGAGATTAACCAAAGAACTTATAAGCATAGCCCATGGACACAGACAATAGTGTGGTGAAGGCTTGGGGTAGGGCAGGGACTGGGAGGAGAGCAGTAAAGGGGGGTAAAATTGGGGCACATCTATAATACTGTCAACAATAAAATAAAATTAAGTTAAATTTTAAAAAGAAGGGCTCAGATCCCCCTGGAAGCACAAGTTGGGGCACTGTGAGTGTGACATGGGTAACACAACCAAAGCAGGCTTTGGGGACACACTCTTGGGTTTCAGCCCCAGCTGCACCTCCTACTTGCAGGCCACATTAGGCAGGTGTGTAGCTTTCCAAAACTCAGATCCTCCTATCTGTGAAAAAGGGTAAAGATGGAAGGAGGTGACATATGCAAAACACATATCACAGACTCTGCCACCGAGATGGAGGGCGGGAGGGCAGGCAGGGTGCCTGGGCTTCCTTTTCCATGTGGGACAAGAGGCATGGCAAGAGGAAGGAGCTGACAGGAGCCCACGTGGTATTTATGCATAATACGCCTGCGCAAGTACCCGCAATGAGACTCAGCTGCCTGCTCCTCAGGGCTCCTGGGCCTGGGGAAATATTTCCTGATGACAAAGGCTTGGAGCACTCAGTCCTGCAGCCCAGCATGAGGTGGGCACCAGCTGAGGTGGGCACTTGCAGATGGGTTTCCCAATTTCTAGAACTTGCTGGCAGAGTTGATTAAGGAAAGGCAGGGATGAATGCCTCCCCAGCAGGGCTGAGGGCACCTCTCCTCCTCAGTGCCACCCTCGAACATGACCACTATATGTCTCTTCTCGAAGCCTCGAGAGCATATAGAAGTTGGTCCAACTGAGTGTGCCCAGCAAGTGGGCACAAGAAGACAGTGGACAGTTACCAGGTGAGCAGAAGGAAAGCTAGTGGGTTAATGTGTGAGGAGAAGCAAGTGCTGGCTCTTTCAGGGAGTAGAGACAGGAGAGATCCCCACTTGTTCCAGGGGTAGGGCCAAGCACAGAGGTGACAGCCCCCTGGGTGTAGAAGCGGTGGACAGACACAGCCCCACACCTACCCTTTCATGTATGGGTATTTATTGCTTCAATTTTTTACTCTCTGGACACCTGTACCTGCAGGAGCTCGTGTCCCCAGGTGCTTAAAGTTCTTGGCACTTCTGACGATTTTGGCAGGAGGAATTGGCATGCCGTTTAACAAGGAATGCAAACTGCCCTAAATCAGCATGCAAACCTGTTAGAGCCTTCAACAAAGTCAGATGGCTGGTGGATGCCTTGTGTGTTCCTTTATTACAGCAGCTGCCACCTGTATGCTCACAGGTGCAGAGACAGCACTGAGTCATGTCTCTGGGTGGCAGCATTGTGCAGTGTGGTCCTTCCCCCCGATGGAGTCCTGGAGGCGAAAGTAGGTGGCATAGAGCTGAGACAGGGTGAGTTGAGGCATCTACAGTAGTCAGGGTTCTTTGGATGCAAACAGCTACCTGTTACTTCCTCTCTCTGCAGAGTCCTGTGGTCCAAGTGGTCCAAGTATGGCTGGCCCAACCATCAGGGGAGCTCTCCAATCTCATAGCTCTTCCCTGAAACAAGCCGTCTAGAATTCCAAAGCCCTGAAGATGAAGATGACAACTGTTGGAGCTTCCACCTTGCTGAGCTGTCCCAGGCCCTGCTAGTCAACATGGCTGCTGGGAAGGGGGTTCTGTGGAGCCCTTCAGCTGAAAACAGATGGTGGTGTAGTGAACCCGAGCAAAGCCGGGGCTGCCAGCCAGTGCTTCCACAGAAAAAAAACCACCCAGGCTCCAAGGCTGACAGCAGTGGTGGCCAGGATGAGTCCTGTGTGGAGGTGTCACTGTCAACACCCCAGGGCAAGCTTAGACTGGAAAAGCCACTGGCCCAGAAAGTGTGCTGGGAACAGGGGCAGAGCGCCTTCATGGAGGTGCCTAGGCTGAAGGAAAGGCTACAGGGCATGCCGGCCAGGGACAGGGAGCATGATGGCCTCAGGAGCCAGCCTGGCCTTCAGCAGCTGGCCCAGGGCGTCCCCGGGGACCCCACTGGCAGTACGGTCTTCTCTTTGTGGCCCAGCAGAGCCGGAAGGGAGCAGAGAAGTGCCTTCAGCAAACCAGCCAGATGTCCATCGGGGAGACCTGGGTCAACCTCGCTCTTCCAGGCAGGCAAACCTGCAGATGCCCTGGGGGAGCTGTTGGGGCTCATCAAGATGGTAGACATCCCTTGTTGGGGTCGACTTTCCAATGCCAAGATTTTGGTGGGTGATTTCTTGAACCTGCAGACACTGCCACAGAGTGCTCCTCTCTGCAGTGCTTTCTTGGGTGCTCCCACCCTGTGGCTAAAGCATGCCATGGCCCAAGTGCCCACAGCCTCACCACCCTCCACTGGCTCCCAGGCCCTCCTGCCACCCACGTTCACTTTCCTGGGCTTGTCCACCCAGAACTGGTGCGCAAAGTGCAGCCTCTCCTTCCACCTGACCTCCGACCTGGTTTTTCATATGCGGTCCCACCACAAAAAGGAGCATGCAGAGCCTGACCCACATTCTAAGAAGCCGACAGAAGAGGCACTTACATGCCCCATCTGCCAGGAGCACTTCCGGGAGCGCCACCACCTCTCCCGGCACATGGCTTCCCACAGATGAAGGTGGCTGTGGGACTCTGCAGTGTCCAGACTTTGGCAAGGGGCAGCAGGGACTCACTGGGGCTCCCTGTAAGAAGCTATCTGCAGTTGTCTGTAGGGCTGTCTGCACTGGGATGTGTAGATGAACAGCTCAGTCATAATTTGAAAAGGACAGTCCTCAGCTGCAATGTCTTTTGAAGTAAATAAAGCTGAAATTAAATGATGCCCTTTGCTAACCCAGGTGTCAGGACCACGGGGCACAAAGTGCTTCTAGCATATGCAAGAGTGAGGGCCTGCTCCTGTCACCACTCCTTTGGCTCCACAGAGCCAAGTTTGGCATGCAGCAGGGGCATGAAGGCAGACAAGCCTGGGGTTGAGCCTCGGCCCTCTCACTGATAGCCCTGCCCTGGAACAAACTGCTCTAACTGTCTGAGCCCCAGATTTCTTATCTGTAAAAGAGATATGACACCTGTGCTTTTGGATGTTGTCAGGGTTACATGGAACTGGCCAGCACACCACCTGGAGCTGTGTGGTCACTGTCTAAGGGATACTTACTATCATTGTCCAGATCAGTCATCTGCTGATACGTAACAAAATCTAAGTGGTGAACAACTCAGAGTGTGGATTTCTCATTCAGGGTCTGTGCGTTGGCTGGGGTGGGGCTGGTCTTTCTCGGGCTTGGCTCCATCCTTAGGTTCATGTTCTTTATTTCTGGAACTGGGGCTTTCCAGATCATGCTTTGTTCATGGTCATGATTACAGGACAGGGCAGCAAGTCCTCTGCCTTGGTCACTTCTGCTAAAGCCTCTTTGGCCAAAGCAAGTCAGTGGCCAAGTTCAAGGTTAAGGAGTGAAATGTAACGAGAGTGGGTGTATCATCCACTGTAGGAGTGTGAAGACTTGGGATCAACAACTCAGCCATGGTTCTCCACATTCTGAATGTGTGGCTCTTGGGAAGGGAGCATGTGCAAAAGCTTAAGGCTTAAGACACTGTGAGAATTGGGAGAGTCCTGGGTGCCACTATTATCTCTTCTGCTTTTCCATGTTTGTCCTTGCAAACATCGGGCCCCACACACTGCTGTCCTGCAGGCTAGTTTGTGTGAGGCCATTTGTTGGGAATTCTTCTGAGTCAGTGCATTGTTTATGACTGGTTTCCACTTTGCTGTCAGGATTTCTTCATTTGACCTGCAGCTTGCAGCTCTCTAGAGGGGCCTCCATCACAGGGCTCAGGCTGTGGTTGGGAAGAGCTGGTGGGGGTAACTTGGGGATGCATGCCCAAATCAGACCTGTGGGGAAGGGAGTAGGGCACCCCTGAGGCCTCCTGAGGAGTGAGGGCATGAGCTGAGCCTCAAAGTCCAGGAGGCGCTGGGATTCAGTCAGGGAGGGCAGTGCTGGGGAGGAGGGCCGAGCTGTAGAGGTTCTAGGGTGCTGAAAAGTTAGCATGAGGAGAACTGGGTGGGGAGGAAACCCTAGAGAAGATGGAGACACACAGAGGCCTCAGAGGAGAAGAGTTTGGACCAGAGCATAGGAGGGCCAGCTCTGAGAGGCAATCCTGGCCTCAGTGGGAAGGAAAGGATGGCTGTAGGAGAGGAGATGACGATGACTCCCTGAGGCATTCCCTTCACATCTGAGAGGAGCTGGGCTGCTCCCTACAGGCACCAACAGAGCACCTCCATTCTCAGGGGGAGGCTTGGAGGAATGGTCTGCAGGTCAGCCCCTTGGGAGCTGTGTGGGGGCAGAATTTGCCCACAGAGAGGCCGAAGCTTCAAGAAGCCTCCCCTTATGCTGTCCCATGTGGGGCAGAAAGGGCCCCTCACAGGTTTGGACCTGAGGCTCCACACTGTGCAGTGACAGGCATCATTTCATCCACATGGCATACCTAGGAGGGAGGTATTTAATTCCCATTTTACTGCTGAGGAAACTAAAACTAAATTCCAAGAGGTTAACGGACTTTCCTAAGACCATGAATTAAGATCCAGACCCCAGGACCTCCTCACACTGAGCTGCATCCCTCCTAGCCTACCACACAGTTGCTCAGCGTGCTCATGTGTCCTCGTGGGTGGTTTTAAAACTAGAACCAGACATTGGCTTCACCTTGCACCCCGCCCCACCACACACACACACATTTCTTATTGCCTTTCTCCTTAGCGCTTTTCACTATCTTGCCTACAATTGTTTGTTTACCATGTCCCCTGTCAGTAGAATGTGAGCTCCAGGAGGGAGCTTTGCTGCTGTGTGCCCGGCCGCATCCCCAGCAGGCGGACCGATGCAGGCACACAGCAGGTGCTACTCCAGCCTCACCGCTGACAAACCTTGAACCAGCTTCTCTAGGGGTTTTGACATCTGTCAAATGGTATGCACAGCCATCCTCCTCTGGCTTATTAGATTGGTCCATAATTTCTTGAAATCACTTTGAAAGGCATAAAAGCATTATACTAAGACAAAGTAGAAATTCAGAATTGAGACTGTAAAATTCTAGTCCATTCCCTCATTTCACAGCAGTAAGACTGATGTCCATGGATAAGCTGGCCTGCAGAGTGTTGTAAGACAAGTGGTGGTGAGGTCAAGGCTAGGGTTCCTGAGGTATCTGTGAGGTCTAGGTCTGTGGGCCCTCCTGGCCTGCTGTACTCCTTGAGGGACCAGGGATATGGCCTCAAAGGGAATTATTACTAACAGTGACCACACTACTCACAAGCAAGGGGGACATTTAGAGAAATTAATAAATTAAAGCTAATTAAGTTAATTAAAGTTATGAAGAAGCACAACAAAGCATTTTCCCCCAAATCAATTTTTAAGATGGAGTTTAGTTTGGTAAAAATTGATGTAAATGCAAGTTGCTTTGCAGACATTGAAATTGACAAACTGAAGGATGACTTATAGAGGTGATGGCTTACAGCTTATGAATGTGGCAGTTACTACTTGTCATCAGCTGGGTTCCCAAAGTACTCTTGACAGTTGAATCCTGTCTCATCCATTCTTCTCGTCTGCCCTCCTTTATCTACCCGAGAGCAGTCACTTTTAATCACGACTTTGCCCAAACACACTCTGTCACCTTCTTTACCATTTAAGGGTTGGCTGGTGATGTTGCCACATAACATTACATCAGCAGGTATAAATTTTTCTCTACAATTGTTGGGTAAAAATTGCCACATTCCTTAAATTCTCTATGTCAAATTTAATCTTTTCTGCACCCCATCCTTTGGCTTTAGTAGGATATGCAATCCTACCAATTTTGGAAATTCCTCTCCTGCCTCTCAAGTTCAGAGGAAGTTTCCCAGCACCCCACGCCTAAGAAGGTGGCCTCTTTTAACACCACGTCCTCTCCTTATGCGGCCTTAGTGGCTTTGCTGCTATTTCCCAGGGTGCTCTGTCTTCTCTCCTCTACCTCAGCCAGGGTCTTGGGCTGTGGTGGTTTTCTGGAAATGCTCTCATTAGGCAGGTAGCACAGGAGCCACCAAGTCAATGAGCAGACAAGGGGAAGGAAAATACCTACTGTGGCTAGAAAAATGGCTAATTATATTCTAATAAATTATCTCTCTGTAGCCATTCAGTTAAAACTTATTAAAGTCCCAAAAATGTGCTAATGAGGTTAAAATAAGACATTTTGAATTCAGATCCATTTTATTTCTCAATTTTAACCAAGACCTGTTTTTTCTGTTTTTATGTAGAAGAGAAGTAAAACCTTGATAAGTCTGGGATCCTGCTTTTCAATTACTGGAACATTTCTAAATCTTAGGCCATGGATTCTAATCAAATAACTACATAATTAAGTTACTGAAAGTGAGTGAATTCCACTCTATTTGGGGCATGAGGAGGGAAGAGGGAGGAAAGGCAGTCCTCACAGCCTAAAGGCCAAACACAGGCCAGAAATCAGGACTGTCTGTGAAATTAGGGGCCAGCTAATTCAGTGGGCTTTTTCTTTCTTTCTAGTATTACAGATGCCCCTTTTCCCCCCTGTTGATCCCCTCCACCCCTCATCCACCCACTCTCAAGCCTTCCCCATAACAATGTCTGTGTCCGTGGGTTATGCTTATAGACATATATGTCTATAAGCTCTTTGATTAATCTCTTACCACCCACTCCCCTACCCCCACCTTCCCTCTGAGATCTCTCAATCTGTTCCATGCTTCTATGTCTCTGGATCTATTTTGTTCATCAGTTTATTTTGTTTATTACACTTCACATATAAGTGAGATCATGTGGTATTTGTCTTTCTCTGACTGGTTTATTTTGCTTACCATAATACTCTCCACTTGCCTCCATGCTGTCCCAAAGGATAAATGATCCTTCTTTTTCACAGCTGCATAGTATTTCATGGTATAAATGTACCACAGCTTTTTTATCCACTAGTCTACTGATGTGCACTTAAGAAGAATGTATATTCTGCAACTTTGGATAAAATGCTCTGTAACTGTCAATTAAATCCATCTGACCTAGTGTGTCATTTAGGGTCACCGTTTCCTTGTTGATTTTTTGTCTGGAAGACCTATCCAGTGAAATCAGTGGAGTGTTAAAGTCCCCTAGTATGACTGTATTGCTGTTGATCTCTCCCTTAAAGTCCTCTAGATGTTTTTTTATAAATTTAGGTGATCCTATATTGGGTGCATATAGGTTTATTAGGGTTATATCCTCTTGTTGGATCGATCCCTTTAGTATTATGTGGTGACCTTTCTTGTCTCTTGTTATTGTCTTCATTTTGAAGTCTATTTTGTCCGATATGAGTATTGCTACCCCAGTTTTTTTGTTTTTCATTTCCATTCTCATGGAAAATTTTTTTCCATCCCTTCACCCTCATCCTGTGTGAGTCTTTTGTTTTGAGGTGGGTCTCTTGTAGACGACATATATTTGGATCATGTTTCTTATCCATTCAGGTTACCCTACGTATTTTTATTGGAGCATTTAATCCATTTACATTTAAGGTTATTGTTGATAGATACTTATCTATTGCCATTTTAATTCTTTATGCCTATGTTTCTCTTTCTTTCTATTTCTATTTCTAATTGCAGCAGTCCCTTTAACATTTCCTGCAATGCTGGTT